GCTGATGGGGAAGGAAGGGCACACACAGGTGCTTGAGAGAGGCTTGGGCTCAGGAACCAACACTGAGGGGAGACTGAAGATGGGGTTCTAACTCTGGCTATGCATCCCACGCATGTCCACTGTATCTTCTTCTGGACCTCAGTTTCTTTCAGTGCAGGGTTGGAGGCCAGAGCGGAGATGGCCACTTTTTCCCATGGCTGAGTCCATGCCAGACATTGCTCATCAATTGCCCTTCCCCACAGAGCTTGGATGAACCCCAAGAAGTCTTTTCAACACCGTGCTCTGGGTATCTACTGCCAATTGCATTTGGCATGCAAAATGAGACCTGCTTCCCGTCCTGACAGAAGATCATCTCTGAGGCACCAACATGAAGTAGGGATGCAATAAATATTTGTTGGATGAATGGGCACTTCTTTTTTTAGCCCTTACTTCATGCCAGGCGTTGTTCTGAGTACTGTTCTAAACGGTGAACAAAGCAAAGTTCCTGACCTCAATCTCACATGTGAGGGAGACAGGCAATAAGCAAATAAGCAGAGAAATAGATCAAATATCAGGTGGTGATCAGTGCCATAAAGAAAAGTTAAAACAATAGAGAGTGACAGGCTGTGGGTCAGTGTGGGGGCACGTTGTGGATAAGGTACCCAGAGATCTTCTGGGAAAGAGATATGGAGCCGACAAAGTGAGAGTCTCCTCAGAGTCCATCACTCTAGGACTTTGAGTCTAAATTTGTCTGACTCTAAGATTCTAATTTCGTTGAGTAAGATTCTAGAATCTCGTGAATCTAGGAACCTATAACTAAAATTATAGATTTTCACTGCTCTCATATTCCATGACAATGATGCTAGAATTCTGTGACTCTGAAATTCTAGGCTTCACTGATGCATCTTTTTGCTTGAATAGAACAGGATTCATTGCCTACCCTCTCCCCACTACCCCTAGGAAATAGAGCTGAAAATAGAAACAGTCAAAACAACAAGCCATTCCAGCTCTAAGTGCCATAGTAAACAAATGGTCCAATGTTGCTCTGATAGTTTAATTGCGGCAGTTCCAGACAAGCCCATTCATGAAAGATCTTTAGTTGATGGAGAGGAGGAGTGAGCACCCAGGGAAGGGAGGCTTGTAGGTGGGCACTTGGGGGAGGTCTGCGTCACCACCCCAGCTGAGGATGACGCTCTGGGGAGCCTGTTGGGTTTCAGCAGCCAAAGCATTGGTGTTTGGATCAGGCCCCTTTGCCTTTAAGGATCACAATGGTGGCTATTTTAACTGGCACAGTAAAGAAGGGTCTCTTTGAGGATGTGGCATCAGAGCTAGACTGGAAGACTTAAGAAGATACTAGGTTGACAGAAATCCAGGGAAGTGAGTCCCAGGCAAAGGGGAAGAGCAGATTCAAAGGTCCTGAGGTGAGAGAGAGCTTGGCAGGTTCCCCAAGTATTCAGAGCATAGGACAGAGAGGAGACAGTATCAGAGGGATAAGCAGGGGCTGTGTCCTATAGGGGTTTGGAGGTCAGGGTTAGGAATATGGAAGCCACTGGAAAGATTTTAACAGGGGAGTGACATGATATAACTCCATATTCAAAAGATTCCTAAGTGCTTTGAGTAGAAGAGACTACTGGTGGCAAGAGTGGAAACTGAAAGACCAGTGAGAGTCCCCAGTGTTTCAGTGAGAAATGATGGTGGTTGGATTTAGATGGTGGCAGTGGGTCCATCTGTTTGTCTACCACTTTGTTCTTCCCTCTTTTCTTCCATTCTTCTATCTCTTCATCCATCCATCCATTCACCCACCTGCCCATCCATCCACCCATTCATCCATCCATTCATCCATCCATCAATCCACCCACCCACCCACCCATCCACCCACCCATCCATCCACCCACTCACCCATCCATCCACCCACTCACCCATCCACCCACTCACCCATCCACCCACCCACCCATCCACCCATCCATCCATCCATTAACTAAACACATTGTGTCTATAGGGAGTCAGGTACAATGCTGAACAAGAATGAAATAAACATGGTTCCCAGCCTAAGGGGCTTACAAAACAGCAGGGCACACAAAATTGCAATGTAATGTTATGAATGCTCCAGTTGAGGAATGCATAAGCACTGAGAAAGCTCATGGGAGGTAATTCCCTATGCTTTGTCCTGGAGGAGATGCTGATATTTGAGTTGGGCCTTTTGAAGGACACAGGAGTTGGACAGGCAGCAGAAGAGTGTTCCTGGCAGGGGCACACAGCTTGAGTAGAAAGCAAGGAGGTAGCATGAGTGAGCATGGCCTGTTCTGGAAATGTATAGATGTCTATGTTGGTTGAATCAACAGTTGTGAGTGGGGATGCTGATGGGAGAGGAGTTTGGGTCAACTTGGGAAGACACAGAGCAGCATATGCCCATGAGTGGGCCTGCCCCTTCCTGCTCGGCTCGGCCTGCCCCTATCAGAGCTGAATAATTGAATTAAGTACCAGCTCTTAAACAAGATGCAGCTGTTTAGCAGATGTTGCTTACACCCCAGATGGAGGTGCATCTTGGCGACGGGCACAACATTTCCAAGGCATCTAATTTGTGAGGCTGTGGAGAGGAAAGAACTTCAAGATGCTGGCATTATTATTTAATAACCATCATTAATTACACACCCCCTCCCTCCAGCACCACTGCATGTCAAACATTTCTGCTGGATTCAGACTGGAGGCACAGAGGTGGGCTGGCAGGTGGGCTTGGGGGTTGGACTTGCTGGTTCTTATTCAGAAAAATGAATAAGGGAATAAAAAAATCATCAATCCACAAAGACTTCAAGAACTTTTATAATAATGGAAAATGACTTCTCTTGCATTTTTCATAAAATGGGTACAAATAATAACTGCTATTGATTGAACCCCCACTCAGAGCCAGGGGCTATGCTGGGTGCATCTTAGACTTTGCCTCCAATTCCCTAATCCTCCCAACAGCCACGCACTGTCCTACCTCAGGGCCTTTGCCCTTGATGTCTCCTCCAACTGGGAACGTTCTTCCTCCAGACACCCACATGGCTAACTCCCCAGCATCCTTCAGAGCTTCACTTAACTGTCAGCTCCCTAGAAAGGCCTTCCCTGACCACCACTCCCTGAAATAATGTCCTCCACATTCTGACCTCCTTCTCTTGCTTTTTTTTTTATCACCTGATACACGTATATTTGTTAATTGTCTGTTTCTTTCTTTTAGATTTTACTTTCAAGGGCAAGGATTTTCGTTTCATTCATTGTGGCCTCCCCAGCAGTCAAAACAATGCTTGACACAGGACAGAGTTCCTTTTTTCTTTTTTGAGACGGAGTCTGGCTCGGTTGCCCAAGCTGGAGTGCAGTGGCACAATCTCGGCTCAGTACAACCTCTGTCTCCTGGGTTCAAGCGATTGTCCTGTCGCAGCCTCTGGAATAGCTGGGATTACGGGTGCGTGCCATCATGCTCAGCTATTTCTTTTCTTTTCTTTCTTTCTTTCTTGTTTTTTTTTTTTGGTTATTTTCAGTAGAGATGGGATTTCACCATGTTGGCCAGGCTGGAATCCAACTCCTGACCTCAGTGACCCACCTGCATCAGCCTCCCGAAGGGCTGGGATTACAGGCATGAGCCACCGTGCCCGGCCCAGAGTTCTATAAATATTTGTTCAATGGGTGGGTGAATCATCAGTGGGTCTCACAAAAAAATGTAGCAGAAGAGTGTCAGGAAGATAAAATCTCTTTCCCAGGCATTACACAGCCAGCAAAGAGCAAGCTGGGATTTGAATTCAGCTCTAATTCTAAAGCTCTGCTCTTTTCATTAAGGACTTTGTTTTTCCTCTCCATAGCACTTATTTCTCCTTCTCCTTCTCGTTCTCCTTCTTCTTCTGACAGAGTCTTGATCTGTCACCAGGCTGGAGTGCAGTAGTGTGATCTCAGCTCACTGCAACCTCCGCCTCCCAGGTTCAGGCGATTCTCATGCCTCAGCCTCTCGAGTAGCTGGTGGCATGTGCCACCACGCCCTTGTATTTTTAGTAGAGATGGGGTTTCACCATGTTGATTAGGCTGGTCTCGAACTGCTGACCTCAGGTGATCCACCCCCCCTCAGCCTCCCAAAGTGTCAGGATTACAGGCGGGATTACAGGCATGAGCCACCACGGCCGGCCCACTTACTTATTTACCTATTCATGTGTTTAATGTCTGTGCTTCCCACTACAATGGCAGCTCCACTGAAGGCCAAGTTCATCTGTTTTGTTCACAGCTGAATCCCCAGCCCCAAAACAGTACCTGGCACCCAGGAAATGCTTCGTAAATATACGCTGAATGAAGGAAAGAGGGTCTGGGATATGGGAGGCTGGAGGTGTTCACACCCTTGCTGGGTCTCCGACTGGGTGAGACGGTGAGGAGCTCCAAGATGTTTTCCACTTCCCTAACCCCTCCCACATACAGACTTATTTACTCTTGGAAGCAATGCTGCAAGGGAAGTATTATCCAAACCATTTTACAGATGGAGAAATTGAGGCTCAATCAGAGAAATGATTTGCCGTTCTCAAGGTCACCCAGCTAGTAAGTGTCAGAGCTGGGATTTAAACCCAGGCCTCCAGAGCTCACTTGTCATGCAAAAGGGACCCTTAGTGCTTGCTAGCTCTGCCCACCCAAAGGCAACAGCTAGAAGGTCCAGAAGGTCCATTCACAATCTGTGTGTTTCCCCTTCAAGGTCGGGGGTGTCAGCACCAAGGTGAAACTCACACTTAATTCACAACTCCCAGTTTTGTCCATTTCAGTGAAAACTTTCATGTTATTTTAACCCAAATCCCCTGTCGACTTCAATGAAAGCTTTGAATCCATGAGGAAGGTCAGAAAGGGTTTTTTGGAGGTAGCACAGGCGCCCAGTGGAAATCATATTAGCATATTCATTATCATCAGGGCCCTTTGAATGTGTTTTTGAGCTGTTCCCTTCAAGTGACTGGAAACAATGGCTCCTTTCTGTTCACAAATTCCTGGGCTTGAAGTGGGCTGTGGCCAGCTCCCGTGTGCTTCTCTGCACTTTCCAAATGGTCACAGTGAACCCGCGTTGCATAAGGTAACGGGGAGGATGTCATCCACTAGGAGTGCTGGTGGTGAATGAGGCGCTTTGTCTGGGTTTGGAAGAAATATCTCCTCAAGTCACTTAGGCAGCTGTGGTGGACCCCAAAGATGGGCTCAGGTAACAAAATATGTTGTTAAACTGTCTTCTAAGGAGGCTGGACCCTATTAACAGGAGGTTCCTAAGTGTGGCAAAGAGTCGGGGCTGGGGCTGGGGTAACAAGGTAGTTGCTCAACTCTGGCAAGTGCCAGGATCACCCAGGGAGCATTTAGCATCAATCAGTGCCCAGCACCACCTCACCAGGCCATCTGGACGCAAATCTTGGGAAGTGGGGGAACAAACAGGCATCAAAGGTTTGTAAGTGTCCCCAGATGCAAATAGGCAGCTAGTAAGCAGAGCAGAACGTCTCTCTCCTCCAATCAGAGGGAAGGAGAAAAGAGAAGTTGGGGGTGGGGTATAGTGGGGAGGGAGGGCTACGGGAAATCCTCTGGGCATGTGTTGGGAAAAGAGAACTTCAGGGAAAATTGCTTTTTTTCTCTCTCTCTAAAGAAAATTCTCAAACTGCAGAAAGTGGAGAGAACAGTACAGCGACCCTACATGCTTGTTACCAGCCTCACCTGTCACCCACATGGAGTCCTTCCCATTTGTGGGGTTTCCAGGTGTGTGCCTGTCCCAGGGAGGCCATGTGGCCCGCTGTCCCAGAACCTTCCTTCTGTGAAGCCCACGCCACTCCCCAGTGATTCTGACAGTAGATCCTTGGTGGGAACACAGAGCCCCAGCTCTCAGCCTGGACAAGCTTTGACAGAAAAGCCAGCAACTGGGACACAAGTCCTTTTGTATTAAGGGAAAAAAAAATAGTTCTAATTAAAAAGAAATCCCCACCTATTTGGACTAATTCCTCCATGACTAGTTTCTCCTTAGTTCTCCTGTTTTTGGACAGGGCCTGAGGCTGATTTCCCCTGAATAGGATCAAAGAAGTGAGGGGACTAGTCGAGGGCTTGGAACACTCAGAGGGTGGCTGCTGGGGGTGTGAGAACTGAGTAGGGATGGCTCCAGGAAGTCCTCTTATGTGTGCTTCTTTGTTCTTTTGACAAAGGTTTGCTGAGCACCTACTATGCGTCAGACGTCGTGTTCTAGGTAAGGGGGATACATCTGATGGAAGAAGGTGCTTCCCTAGACGTAGCTTACATCCCAGTGTGGGAGATGACAAGAAACAGTAAGTCAAATCTACCGCATGTCAATAGATGGTGTTAAGTGCTACAGAGAAAGTTAAAGCAGGGAAAGAGACTGGGGAGGGTGGTAATTTTTAATGAGGTACCCAGGAAAGGCGTCTCTGCAGACCCACACAAGTGAGAGAGGGAGCCGTGCCGGAGGGGCACTCCAGGCAGAGGGCACAGCAGACGCAAAGGCCCATGGGTGGGAGTTCTCCTTCCAGGAGCGGTGAGCACCCTTGAGTGGTTGGAATAGAGGAAGGGCTGGGGAGAGTGCAGGGAGGTGAGGTCGGGGAGGCAGGTCTGTAGGGGAAACTGAGGAGGTCGGACTGTGTGACTTAGGAAGCCTTTGTTTTTCCTTTGAGTGAGAAGGGCAGTGATGGGTGATGGGTTTTGAGCAAGAGGATTGCAAGCTCTAGCTTAGGTTTTAACAGGACATCTCTGCTGAGTTCAGAACAAGTTGTAGAAGGCAGGCCAGAGGCAAGAGGAGGCTGTTGTGTTACCCCAGGTGACAGACAATAGTGGGTCAGACTAGGGTGGTCATGGAGGGCATGGATACGTTTAGAAGGAAGAGCCAATGGAATTTGTGGACTGCAAGAATGTTGGAATATGACTCAGGACAATCAGGGCTGACTCCAAGGTATTTGATCTAAGCAACTAGAATTATAGAGTTGGCATTTCCTGATATGAAAATCCTGCAGAAGGGGTGGGTTTTGGAGGCACAATCAGGAGTTCCATTTTGGACGGGTGAGATGTGACATGCCTGCGTAACACAGATGGAGCTGTGGAGTTAGTAGCTGGGCATGAGGCTGGAGTGCAGGGGAGACGCCTGGCCCAGAGTCACCCCAGACACTGAGTGAGATCACTAAGGGTGTGATTGTAGACGGTGAGATGTGGACTAAGGTTCTGATATAATAGGAACTGGGCCAGGCCATGTCTTCTGGGCCCCGTCACCTGGGGTTGATGGAGGGATGTCCTGATCCTACCTCCCTCTCCATTCACCACTTCCAATTCTTAGCATTTACCCTAAAGATAAATGGGAGAGCTGAGCTAGCCTAATTTTGGTTGAAAAGAGCAGAGCCTCTCTCCTAACTTGAGCCATGGGGGGTTGTTGTAAAGCTACATGCAGGGACTGGAAGGCGGGAATTTTGACCACACATCACAGAATACAATTTAGCTACTGGAACATCATTCAGGACCCAGTGCTCTGGGACTGAGTTAGTTCATAGTCATCTCAGGAGCAGAGGTTTGTCAAACTTCTCCTCCCCCTTGTCTGTCTTGGAATTTTGGCTTACTCATTGCCCCTGTGCCTTTACATTTGTTTGAATTATGTCATCTTTTAGGGTCTTTCAGCTTGTAGGCATTATCCCAGCTCTTTGTGGTCCAATTCAAACTGGCAGCCACCATCACTGCTGATGAGTTTAGTTAATTGGGCTCAGCCCTGCTGGGTGGAACTTCTGTCCCAGGCTGTATCATAGGCTGCTCAGCCTCTATTTTGGCAGTCTTTGGGTCAAGTGGCTCTTCCTGCCCCCATCAGGTGTTGTGGAAGTGTGGAGATATCGGGTAAGAATTCAAGGTCAACAACAGTAATGTCAACAGTAATAATAACAGCATGGCTATGTAGACTGCATCAGACAGACTGGGTTCTGGTTCAAGCCCAGCCTCCACCACTTACTATGACCTTGGGCAGCTTGTTCAGCCTAACTGCATCGCCATCTCTACATCTACAAGTGGGAAATAATAATGTTAACTACATCTTAGCATTGTGGTGAGCAGTATATAAACTAATCAAGAAGACTCTTATGGCATATAATTTAATCAGGGCTCAAAAAATACCAGTCACTCTTACGACTATTGGCTGAACAGTTCTTCTGCGCTAAATGAGGTGCTTTAAAGGTGCGCATTCTCATTTGATTCCTTATAAAATCCCAATGAGATAGGTTCTTTTTTCAGCCCCACCTTATAGCTGTGAAAGTGGAGGCAGAAGTGATGTGACTTATCCAAAGGTCCTTCAGCTAGTACAAGATGAAGCTGGGACACTCAAACACAGGTTTGTCTGGTTTCAGAACCGGTGGTCTCACTGTGCCCTCCCCCCTACCCCAGCAGGGCATCTATATGTAAACGCTCACCCTGGGCCACTTCCTCTGCAAGACTGTGGGCAGGAGGCCCCCCAGAAGGTGTAGGGCACTCCCTGATATCCCACAACCCCACCCCCTACGCCAGATCTTTCTGCCTTCCAAGGAGATAATGCCTAGTCTTCTAAATACCACTCTGCTCCAGTGGGACTGTGCCCCTCACCTGCTCTGGCCTACAAAGGCCATTCCTGTTCCTTGTCCCGTGTGGTCCTCAACATTTCAATTACTTAGCAAAGCAGGGATTATTTCTTCCCATGTGACAGATGCAGAAACTGAAATTCACCAAAAGGATGGAACTGTCTCTTCCCCAGTCCTTACAAGGAGCATTTGGAGAAAGGCAAAACTGAACTTGAGAGGAACAGGGAGTCACTGCATGTCCTCGAAGAGGGGTGAGAAGAAGGCACGAAAGACTGGGGTCAGAACAGAGAAGCTTGGAACTGGAGTGGAAAGGTGCCTCATTTACCTGGACCTATGCCCTGCTTAGCAATGTAGCCAGTTCTGCAAAGCCTCCTCCAGACTTGGGGTCCAGTCAGGGTGTAAAGGAAATAGAATGATATGAATTCCTGGTGCCAGTTTAATTTCATGAAATATGCCAGCATAGCCTTGGGGCTTGATGCAGGCTTCCCTACTGAAGGATCACAGCGGGAAGGGAGCATCTGCAGGCTCTTGGCTCACACTTGTCGCCTGTAACCCTCACATACCAGGCACAAGTCTTGCCCATGCACTGGCACTGTCATCAGTAAACAGTCCCTGAGCTTCATATGTATGGGTTTCACAGCACAGCTCTGGAATCTGACAGTCGAGAGTTTGAATCTCAGCCTTGCACCTACGCACTGTGTGGCCCGGAGCAAGTCGTTTAACCTGTCTGGGTTTCTGCTTCCTTATCTGTGATCCTCCCTCAGTGGGATACTGTGGAGATCAAGTGAGATATGTTCGTTTAGTGCTTGACACAGTGCCTGGTGTGTGGCCATTATTGTTCCACACAACACAAAACAATTCGGACACTTGCTGTTGGCATAGGAATGATTAAAAGATATACGGTATAGGAACATAACAAATAATAAAAAAGGAAAGATTATTTTGATGACAGAGTGGAGGATGTGTTAGGAAGGAGAAGACTAGTATTGAAACATCTCTGCTAGGAATAGTGTTTGGCTGTTGGTAGCAAAGAAAAAAAAAAAAAACCACCTAACCATGGAACAGATTTTAGTTGTCCTCAATACCTATGCTCCCCTTCTTCCTTAGTCAACAAAATCCCTAATTTTCATCGGAGTACATGGCATGCCTCCTGAAATAAAGATTACAGTTTCCAGTTTCCCTTCCATATCCTAGGTATGCCCATGTAAGTTCTGGCCAGTGGAAAATGTTGTGTGTGACTTCTAGAAAATGTCTTAAAAGGGAGGGTAAACACCTTCCTCCACCCGTCCTCCACACTGTCTGGAATTTGAGACATGATGACTACATCTCAAGTAGCTCGGACCATGTGATGAGTTAAAGATGGCTGTGGATTCTTTGATCCTCCTCCCTTTGAGAGGAGGAGTCAGTTTCCCCTGTACTTAAATCTGGGCTGACCTGTGACTTCTTTGACCAATAGAGTATGGTGGAAATAATGCCACACCCATTCCAGGCCTAACCTCTAGGAGGACTGGCAGTTTCTGCTATGGCCTCTGGGAGCCATGAGCTGCCATGAAAAAGGTCAAACTACCCTGCTGGAGACAGCCACCTGGAGAAGCCCTGGGATTCCATGGAGAGGCAGAGGGACCCAGTTGAGCTCAGTGTTCCAGCCATCCCCACGAAAGCATCAGGCATCTAAGTGAAACCATCTTGATTCTCCAGCGTAGCCCAATCAGCACCTGAGTATCACTGAATGACTCTAGTCAGTGCTCCATGGATCACTGAAGGATCACCCAGCTGAGCCCTGCCCAAATTTCTGACTCACAAAACTATAGACAATACAATGGTGGTTGTTTGGGGGCCGTTTGTTATGCTGCAGCAATAAATAGCCAGAACAGACCAAGAGGTAGAAGTTGTTTGCTGAAAATGTTGCAAAAATTACACCAGCCCTTTCCTAGCTACCTCCAGATTTCTTGCTACTTTAAAAAAAAAAAAAAAAATTCCCTATTTAAGCCTTGTTAACACCTCGGGCTATTGCTCAGTCCTCAGTTTTCCATTTGTTAAATGGAGTGTTAGCTCCTGTCTTATTACTTCCCAAAGGTGCCTGAGAGGTAGAGTAAGAATGAAGAAGAGAAGGCCTTTTTCATGTAATATAAACAGTGCTCATGTCCCCGAAGATCAGTGAGTGACATAATCAAACAGTTATAATATATTTAATGTGGTCATAATGGGTGTGAACTTATCATGAACCAATTGCAATGGATTTTGGAATCAGACACGTTAGGGCTTGAGGCTCTCAGCTCTGCAAGACAAATTTCTAACTTGACAAATAGGGTCAGTCATTAAATCTCTAAGCCTTAGTTTCCTCATCAATAAAATACAGACGACGTGATTTCCCTCCATTGAGTCTGTGTGAGCATTAAATTAAATGAGATTAATCCATCTATTTGATAAATATTGAATATCTCCTAGGGTCTAGGCCAAACACACTCCTGATATTGGTGGAGGCTGGTGGCCACTCACCCTTAAATCTAAATATTTAAAAGTTATAAATCAAACCAATACCTTCTCTTAAATGTTCTATCCTTCTCCTCAATAAGTATAACTTCTCAGCAGCCTGAAAGGCCAGGATCGATTTGGAAACAGACTTCTTAGATACTTGCACTGACATGTGGTGGTGCTGGGGAGAGCCAGCCCCATCCCCTGGTTGCTCATTTCCCAGCCTATAACCTGCCACCTTCCCTTCTCATCCCCAGCTCCATCCTGTACCGTGCACACCTCACCTGCATGTGTGTAGACATACCAGGCTGCAGGTCCAAGCTCCATCCACACCCCATACTCAGCAGTGCCCCTTGGCTACACCCTGGGTTTAGTGTTCTGCCTCCAGACAATAGACCAGGAAGAGGCCTGGCAGCAGGTTTGGGACTTTTAGGTAGGGAGCTCTGGAATCCTAGGAATCTGTAGTACTCTAGACAAGGAGCAAAGACTTGGATGGGTATATCCCCTTGGCACTGCAGACTCTCTAGCCTATGGGGACGTACGCAGCTGGAGGCTGGCCAGGGCACAGCTCTGCTTGCCTGGGTCCAAGGATGGGCTGGTCAGCCTGTGCTAGGTGCTGCAGGTACATGAGTAGATGAAGCAGATACCACCCTTGCTTCTCCTACTCAAAGGTGAAGACACATCCCTGAAGTCGGGGCCTCAGTCTCAGCCCTATCTGTAAGATGAGGGCTTACCTGATCTGACATCAGGTAATGTTGGAGACTTGGTGAATGTCCTCAGGAATCTCCTAGAAGCCAGGAGGCCAGATGAGGAGGGGCATGCTTAAGGCCTGAGTAATCAACTTCCTCCTTGAACTCAAGGCTGGTAGGGCAGGAAGGGTATCCACCCTCTAGTCGAACTCCATCCACCCAATTCCTTCAGTGGCCATAACAACAAAACTTCCCATCACACCTAGAATGAAAGTCCAGCTCCTTGCTGAGACCTGCAAAGCCTGCTACCCTCAGCTCCTGACCATCTCCTCTCCTTCTTATTGCTGCTCACTGAGTTCCATCCTTATGTTCATGAAACCCCACAGGTACTCTTCCACCTCAAGGCCTTTGCCCTTGCTGTTTTCTCTGCTGGACATGCCCAGCTCTTTGCAAGGCTAGTTCCTCTTATTGTGCAGGCCTCAGCTTAGACACTCCCTTGCATAGAGATGGCCATTGACATCCTTCTAGGAGCAGATCCTATCTAGCCCCAACTCTCTCTTGAGCGTGTCACCACTTTACTTCCTTCCTAGTACAGCCAAAAGTGGTGTAACGGAGTGTGCAAAAGCTTCCACTTGGGGCTGGACTGGCTGGGTCGAACCCCTGCTGGGCCCAATATTCTCAAGTGCCCAGCCTACCTACTGCACACTTGAGGCTATTGTTCAACCTAGTTCCCCACATACTGTTCAACCTGTTTCTCCACATATTGTTCAACTTCCTATTTCCCTTGAATAGATTATTCAACCTGCATTTTCTTATCTGTGCAAGGGAGTGAGGACTACATGACCTAATGTGCATATAGCATAGAGCAGAGCCTGGCACAAGCGTTGCAGTGGTGTTTGCTATGATATCAACACTTGTTGCTATTTGAAATTATTTTGTCTGTATGTTTCTTGTTTACTTCCCTCTTCTCTCTGACAGGCAAACTCCCCACAACAGCCTCCTCAACGCTGCCTCCCACAGTGCTTGGACAAAATAATTACAGCAAGGAGCGGGCACTCCTTATATAGGACATCCCAATGCAGGTGGAGAAACTGAGGGAGAGTTGGAGGTTCCTTGCCCTCGGTGATGCGGTGTGAAGGCCTCCAGGCACCAGCCCCGCCGCGTGAGCCGCCGCGTGCACCGCTTCTCGCGGACCCCAACCGAGCCGCACTTCTCGCGCCGCTACTGCGGGTTTCCGCGGCGCCGGTGTTTTTGTTCCTGGCGCGGCGCGTTTTAGTCGTTCAGGCCGAATCAAGCGAAGGCGGAAAAGCGGCGCGCAGCCCGCGTCAGCTGCAGTTTCGTCCTCCTGGTTCCCGGTGCGCTAACAAAGGCATTTGCATGAAAACAGGAACCCCGTTTGCAGAAAGGACCCGTTGGCGGGGTGCATCGTGCGCTCCAGTGCCCTACCGCTGCGCCCCCTTCCCCAGGTGGGGAAGAAGCGAAGTGTGGAGACTGGCCCAAGACACGGCTCGGCCGGCGGGGACTGGGACGCTGCGGCCCGAGCGACCCCCTTCTCTGCCCCCTTCCCAGGCCGGCGGAAACGGCCGTCTCGGGCGTGGGCGCGCTTCTGCAGACTCATCCGGACCTTTTACCCAGGCGTGCGGCTAGTGCGCCCGGGGCCTCGGGGAGCCGGCGCCTGCGTGCGGATTGCAGCGGAGCGGAAGAAGCGGCGGCAGTGGCTCCTTCAGCACTGGGGCGCAGCCTCCGGGCTCGCCCTGCGCCACTCTGGGCCTCGGTCTCTTCGCATGTTCGACAGGGACGCAAGAATGTCACAACGCCTATCTGCAGGGGGAGGCGGGCTTCCCAGAGGCGTGCCGGCGCGTGGCTCGCAGAGAGGCTCCCTGAATATCCGCTCCGTTGGCCCTTTCCAAAGCTTTTCCTTAGCCGCTTCTCCTTTGGCCCTTTCCAGAGCTTTTCCTTAGCCGCTTCTCCTTTGAAACCCTCGTTTTCCCCAGCAGCCCTTGGAGGCAGGGTAAGTTAAGTCGTAAAAGCAGAGGATTAGGAAGCGGGGAACCCTGGATTCAAATCCTGCCCGCCACTGACTAGCTGTGTAACCACGGGCAAGTTACTCCGCCTCTGGAGGCCTCAGCTTCCTCATCTGTAAAATGAGGCATAACACAGTCCAGAAAGTGCTTAGTTCCGCAGTGTCACAAATCAAGTGTTTAATTCATCCTTAAAATTATCACTTCCAGCTGTGGGACAGGCGCAGGGTAGAAAGGGGTTTTCTTAAGGTCACAGGCGGGGTCAAAGGCAAACCCTCCGGGTCTTCACAAGTAAGACTTGTGAAGCAGCAAGTCTTCAGCAGCCTGAAGGGCAAGTTCCCCAAATGGTTTTATCCAGCCGGGTAGATGTGAGCGGTAAGGAGCGCCGGCGCATCTCCCCCTCTCTTGGCGAAGACGCACAAGCAATGGCTGGCGAATCTACTGCCTGGAATGGGGTTCTTGGGTAGAGACCATTTTTTGTTCTTTCCCCCCCCCCCCAAAAAAAAGAAAAGAAAAGAAGAAAGAAAGAAAGCAAACAAAGATGCAAACAAAAACGGAAAGCCAGAGCCTTTCATGTAGGAGCCAGCCTGCTATTCAGGGCCGACCACCGTCTCTCCGCAATTCCTCCCCAGGAAGGAAGCCTCGCGCTGCCCTCCAGTGGCAGGCGAGGTAGTGTCGCCTGGGCGAAGCTCACAAACAAGGTTTACCAGAGAAATCAGCTTCACTCTGCGCGGGTGGGGACTGTCGGGGAGAGAGCAGAGAAAATCGGAATGGTTCCCTGACTGCTGTTTTTTCGTCCCGGTGGATCTTGGGAGTCTTGGAAAGAGAATAATAAGGCTCTCTGAATTTGAAAGGCATAGGAGTTTTTACATTCTGGTTTTGTTTATTTTTGAATAGATAACACATTTACACGATTCAAAAGATAAAAAAGAAGATAGCCTGAAAAGGAAGTCTCGCTTCCGCTCTTGTTCCCCAGGCACCCAGTTCCCCTTCCTAGAGACAGCCATTGTTACAGGTTTCTGTGTACCCTCCCGGAGATAGTCTATGCAAATACAATTATTTTACAGGATCAATAGTAGCTTGCCCTATATACTCTTCTGCCTCTTGCTGCTTCGCTTAAAAATGCATCATGGAGTTTGTTCCATGTTGATTCGCATGGGGCTGCCTCATTCTTTTGAACAGCTGCATAATATTCCATTGTTTGGCTCTCCTGTAATTATTTGATCAGTGTTCTATTGCTGAGCCTTGAGGCTGCTCCTAATCTTCTCTAATCACAGTGTGTTACGACAAATAACCACCTACATGCATTGTTATGCCTAGGTGCCAGTGAGGCACATAGCTATTGCGGTATAACAAACCACTCCAAAATTCAGTGGCTTTAAACAGAAAGCTTTTCGTATTGCTCATGTGGGTCAGCTGGGTAGCACTGCTGATCTGGGCCAAGCTCAGCTAACTTTGCATTTGCTCCTTGTGTCTTGGATCAGAGAGGGTGAGTCTGCTGGGGCTGGTGTATTTGGAATGGCCTAAATCACATGTCTGGCCTAAATCACAGTAGTCGACTAGCTATCAGCTAGGGTTAGAGAGGTGTTCAGGCTATGTGTCCCTCAACGTCTGGCTACATGCAGTGCCTCCTGAGACTATAACTGGTGTGAATTTACATCCATTACATTCTATTGGTCCAAGCATGTCACAAGCCATCCTAGATTCAAGAGATGGGGAAATAGAAATCACTTCTCCCAGGGAGGAGCGGCAAAGTCACATTGCAGAGTATGATGCAAGGGCCCTGAAGCACTGCAATCATTTAAAAATGTATTTATAATATTATAGTTAGCATTATGTTGAAAAAACTTGATAAACATTACCTTTGCCATTACCTGACAGACGTTACCTCAAGCCTCAAGGCTCAGCAACAGAAGACTGATCAAATAATTAACAACAATAATAATTAACAATAACAATTAACAACAATAATTTCAACAGAAGACTGATCAAATAACCAGGTGATCAAGGTTAACATTAAGTGATACTGATATTGATAGTATATTTTCTCGATATAACTTGTTGAGAATGATGCTGTACCTCTGTGGTTTTCCTGCCCCAAACCAGTCTGATAATAACCCCAATCTAATAATGAGAATAGCCTCATATAATAGCCGCTATGCACAGCCTCCACTTAAGGGATGGGGAGTTATGCTTCACTTCCTTAAGGGGGCAGTATGTAATAAGTTATTTGGAATTCTTCTGCTATTTGTTTATTCAGTCATTTGTTATATCCATGTGCACTCATGGATATTTATTTTGTACTTTTCATTGTAATCCAATACTATGTTATTTATATTGTTGCTTTAAATTGTTCCAGTTTTGGCGCCTGGGAGCTCTCTCTATTGGCTCCTGTGTCCCTTTGCCATAATTTTTTGTTATGTTTTTGAGCCCTTCCTTACTTTCTGGCACTAAAGCTGCTCCAGACTCATCTTGCATATTTTCTTCCCAGCCTTAGAATCAGCCATTTCTCCAGGGAGCCTGGTTCCTTTCACCGGAGAATGTTATTAGAAACAGATCTGAATGGTGAGTTTGCATGTTGCTACTGGGGACCCACTGCCAGGGAGCAGGGCTAGGAAATACGTGTACGTATCCTAGCCTGTGTACACATATAACTGTAATGATTCTGTATCTATCATCGGTATCTATATTAAGTTAAACATGAGCTCATGCTGCCATCTCTGATTCTGACACATTCATACTGTTCATTCTATCCTTCTCCCTTTGCTTATCTATAACCTTCCACTTCAGCAGTGAAAAACCTGGCTCCTACCATCTGCCATCCATTTACTTAATTGTTCAATGTTAGTACACTTGTACTGGGGTTTCAGAATTGTCAAGCGCTACCCCTGTGAGAAACAGCTTCAGCTCTACCAACTGGAGGGCAGTGCTTATGGACAGCTCTTTTGGTCTTTAGCCTTCTTGTTTCCAGTCATTTCCAAAGTTGTTTAGGTCAGCACCTCTAGTCTCCATGCCCTTCAATGAGATCTCTCATACGTTTGTAATACAATTAGATTATTTTGTCATCATCTGCATTTTTTATCCTGTGATTCCCCATCCTCCTAGTAGATTTTTTAGAATGGCATACATTAAGGTTTACTTTTTTTTTTTTTTTTTGAGATGGAGATTCCCTCTTGTTGCAAGATTGTGCAATGGTGCAACCTTGGCTCACCGCAACCTCCGCCTCCCGGGTTCAAGCGATTCTCCTACTCAGTCTCCCGAGTAGCTGGGATTACAGGCATGCGCCACCATGCCCAGCTAATTTTGTATTTTTACTAGAGACGGGGTTTCTCCATGTTGGTCGGGCTGGTCTTGAACTCCCGACCTCAGGTGATCCGCTTGCCTTGGCCTCCCAAAGTGCTGGGATTACAGGCGTGAGCCACTGCGCCTGGCAAAGGTTTACTTTTTGTGCTGTATAATTCTATGGTTTTGACAAATGCATAGTGACAAATGGATAGTGTAGGACCTCTTTATACGTTCTGGATAACAAGCCCTTAGCAGATATATCAATCACTACAGTACCACACAGAATAGTTTCATGGCTCTAAAATATCCACTGTGCTTTACTTAGCCACCTGTCTCCTTCTCAGTCCTCTGGCAACCACTGACCTATTTCCCATCTCTATCATTTGCTTTTTTAAAGAAATCATATAAACGGAATTATCATATATGTATATATATGTGTAGGTATGTGTTTATGTATGTATAGATATATACATATATAAAACATTTGGAAACTGGTTTATTTCATTTAGCAATATGCACTTAAGAGTCATCCATATTGCTGTGTGAATTAACAGTTTGTTCCTTTTATCTCCGAATAATGTTCCATAGTATGACTGTTGCACCGTTTGTTTATCCATTCACCTATTAAAGGACATCTTAGTTGCATCTGACTTTACTGTGTATAAAGCTGCTGTAAACATTGGGTGCAGGTTTTTGTGTAGACATAAGGTTTCTTATTGGTTGAGTAAATACCTAGGGGCGTAATTTCTAGATTGTATGGTAAATCTATGTTTAACTTTATAAGAAACTGCCAAACTTCCAAAGTGTGCTTCCAAAGTACCATTTTTCATTCCCGCTAGCAATGAGTGACAGTTCTGTTGCTCTGCATCTTCATCAGCACTGGTATTGCCAGTTGGTTGCAATTTAGCTATTTTAATAGGTGTATAGTAGTTGTTTTAATTTGCATTTCTATAATGACAAATGATCATTTTTTCATATGCTTATTTGCCATTTGTATACCTTCTTTGGTGAGATGTCTGTTCATATGTTTTGCCCATTTTTAAATTCAGATGTTTGTTTTCTTCTTGTTGAGTTTTAGACACTGTTTGCATATTCTGGATATGATCTTTGGGATGGTTAATTTTATGTGTCAACTTCTCTGGGTTGTCACAAGGGATGCCCAGATGGCTGGTAAAACTATTTCTTGGTGTGTCTGTGGGATCATTTCCAGATGAGATTAGCATTTGAATCAGTACTCTAGGTAAAGAGCATTGCCCTCAGTGATGTAGATGGACATTATCTAATCCATGGGGGTCTGAATAGATCAGAAAGGCAGAGAGGGTGCAAATTCTCTCTCTTTCCTTGAGCTGAGCATCCATCTTTTCTTCTTCGACATCAGAGTTCTCCTGGTTCTTAGCTCTTCAAACTCTGGGTCCTATAATAGCTGGTACCCTCCCCTCAGACCCCTGGCCTTTGAACTTAAAAATTCTGATTCTCTGAGAAGCCCTAATACAATCTTTCATTAGCTACGTGATTTGCAAATATTTACTCCCATCCTGTGTCTTGTCTTTTCATCCTCTTTTTGTTTTTTCTTTTTAGTGACAGGGTCTCGTTCTGTCACCCAGTCTGGAATGCTGTGGCATAATCATAGCTCACTGTAGCCTCAAACTCTTGGGCTCAAACAATCCTCCTACCACGGTCTCCTGAATAGGTGGGACTACAGGTATTCTACAATGCCCAGCTAATTTTTTTTTAAGAGGTGGGGTCTTGCTATGTTGCGCAGGCTGGTCTTGAACACCTGAATGCAAGCAATCCTTCCACCTCAGCCTCCAAAAGCATTGGGATTATAGGCGTGAGACACCACAGTCAATGCCTGGCTGCTCTTTTCATCCTCTTAACGGTGCCTTTGTTTTTTCTTAAGACGGAGCCTCACTCTGTCACCCAGGCTGGAGTGCAATGGTGGGATCTCGTCTCGCTGCAGCCTCCACCTCCCGGGTGCAAGTGATTCTCCTGCCTCAGCCTCCTGAGTAGCTGGGTCTACAGGCACGTGCTACCACACCCAGCTAATTTTTGTATTTTTTTTAGTAGAGTTGGGGTTTTACCATGTTAGCCAGGCTGGTCTCGAACTCCTGACTTCAAGTGATCATGCGCATGCCTCAGCCTCCCAAAGTGCTGGGATTGCAGGTCTGAACTACCACACCTGGCCAACAGTGCCTTTTATAGAGCAAAAGTTTAATAAAGTACAACTATCAATTTTTTAAAATTATGTTTTTGGTATTGTATCTAAAAACTTGTCACCAGACCCAAAGTCAAGTAGATTTCTCCTATGCTTTCTTCTAGCAGTTTTATTGTTTTGTGTTTTACATTAAGTCTATGATCTATTTTGACTTCATATTAATTTTCATGTAAGGTATAAGGCCTATGTTAAGGATTTTTTTTTTTTTTGTCTATAAACATCTAATTGTTCCAGCATCTTTGTCAAAAATGAGTTGACTGTATTTGTGTGGATATCTTTCTGGGCCTTCCATTCTGTTCCATTGATCTATGTGTCTGTTTTTTTGACCACACTGTCTTTGATTACTGTAGTTTTATAGTAAGTCTTAAAATTGGGCAGTGTGAGTCCTCCAACTTGGTTGTTTTTCAGAATAGTGTTGGCTGTACTTTGCCATCCCATGTGAAAAAAAAAAATTTTTTTTTTTTGAGACAATCTCGCTCAGTCGCCCAGGCTGGAGTGCAGTGGCACGATCTCTGCTCACTTCAACCTCCACCTCCAGGCTTCAAATGATTCTCGTGAGTCAGCTTCCCATGTAGCTGGGATTACAAGCGTGTACCACCATGCCTGGCTAATTCTTGGACATTTTTCGTAGAGATGGGGTTTTGTCATGTTGGCCAGGCTATTTAGTTGTTTGAGTTTCTTAACACATTTTGAATATTAACCCCTTATGAGATGTATAGTTTATAAATGCAGAATTTTCTTCCACTCCATAGTTGTCTCTTCATTCTCTCCATGATTTAGATCTTTGATTTCTTTTGTTTTTGTTTTTTCGTTCTCTACATACAGGTGCTCTATATATTTTGTTTGATTTATACCTCAGTACTTCATCTTGGGGGATGCTATTTCAAAAGGTATTTAGTTTATTAAATTTACAATTCTATTTGTTTATTACTGGCATAGAAGAAGGTAATTGACTTTTGTATATTAGTCTTGTGTCCTATGACCTTGCTAAATTATCTTATTTGTTCCAGAAGTTTTTCTTTTGTTTGTTTGGTAGATCTTTGGGATTTTCTGTGTAGACAGCCACATCATACACGAATAAAGACGGTTTTGTTCCTTCCTTTTCAAACTGTATACCATTTATTTCATTTCCTAGCAGTATCTAGGACTTCCAGTATGATGGTGAAGAGAAATGGTGTGGGAGAGCATTCTTACCTTTTTCTCAATTTTATTAGGAAAACATTCATTCTTTTACATTAAATATGATGCTACATATTGGTTTCTTGTATATATCCTTATTAGGTTAAGAAATTTCCCTTGTATTCTTAATATTTTTAGAGTTTTAAAATCTTGAGTGAGCAATGCACTTTGTCAAATGCTTTTTCTGTGTATATTGATGCGATCATATGCTTTTGTTATTTAGTCTATTAATATGATGTATTACATTGATTGATTTATAAATATTGAACCGGCCTTCTCTTCCTGGAATGAACCTCATTAATTGTGATATATTTTTATCCTTTTTAAATATTGCTGGATTCAATTTGCTGATATTTTATTAAGGATTTTTACAGTTATGTCTATGAGAGATATTTGTAGCTCTTTTTTTCTTTAATGTCTTTATCTGATTTTGGCATTAGAGTAATTCTAACCTCATAAAATGAGTTGGAAAGTGTTCCTTTCTCTTTTATTTTCTGGAAGATATTATATAAAATCGGTATTACTTCTTCCTTAAGTGTTTGGCAGATTTCATCAATGAAACCATATTGTTCTGGTATTTCCTTTTATAGATGGATTTTAACTACTAAATGAATTGGTTTACTAGGCATAGAACAATCTAAGTTTTCTCTGGTTCTCCTTAAGTAAGTTTTGGTAGTTTGTGTCTTTCAAGGAATTGGCTAATTTGATCTAAATTATCAAATTTATGGGAATAGGGTTGTCCATAGTATCCCCTGATCATCTTTTCAGTTTCTGTGGGATCAATAGTAATGACCCCTCTTTTTTTCTCAGTGTTAGTAATTTGTGTCTTCTCACTTGCTTTTCCTTGGTTAGCCTGGTTAGGGACTTATCAATTTTATTCCTATTT